TATTGTATCATTGCAACCAACATTTGTCTACATTGTCTACAAGACCATTTCAACAACCTGCTATTCAGTGAGAGATTTCTAATTTATATATTTACCAGTGCTATCCAGAAGCAGAAGATGCCTTTATCGTAGAAAATTTTTTTATTTTACCTTCAGTAATTATCGTACAATTTTTAAATGTTACACTAAATTTTAGTACCTTTCGTACAAACCTTTTTTTTGTAAGCGAATCAGATCTGAACGCGTTAATTGAAATGATTTTTATTTAATACATAAATGTTTAACTAATGGTTTATATTATAATAATATTATTATTATTATAAACAAAAATAGAAACACATATTAATAATGCTATATTGTTGAATTTTTTCACTTTGTTATTTTCTTAATATATTTGAGGTAAACACCTTATTTATCATTAAAATTCTTACAATATAAATGTTATTTTTTTAAATACACATTTTAATGTTAAAACGAACATCAAAAATCTTATGACACTAAATTATATACATATTTTTGACATTAAAATATCCAAGTCATAAGTTGGCGCCCTTAACCGGATTCCAACAATTTAAACTTCTGAAAGTCAAACCCCCCCAGTATAAAAAAAAACTTACCGTTAAAGGAGCATAAACTCCACTGAGCTGATAGACAACCTATTTTGGGCTAAAATTACGTTACAACATTCAGAATGCACATTATTAAAAGAAGTAGATGGTGGGCCTCCTTGGCAAATGCTGTATGCATCCACTTTTCTGAGAATGTGCTCCAGTTCTTGTAAATTTGTTGGTTTTGAGGTAGATAGAAATTTATGAGTTTCTTTGATCACGCTATCTCTAATTATTAAGCTTATTTCTTCTTTTCCAAAAGATATCTTTAAACACAAAAATATATGTATCTATAATATAATTAAATATGAAACAAATTAAAAGTCAGGATATAACCTTGCTGAAAAAAAGGATTGGATTTAAATAATAATTCATAATTTTTCAGTTGAAACATTTTTTGGATTATATTTCATCATTTTTCATAAGGTTTACATAACCTTATACAAAATTATAAAATATGATCGAATTTTTTTTTCAATCTGATGAAATATTATCGACAATCTCAATCATTTTTCATAATTTCTTATCATAAAAAGTAGATCAGAAAATATGAAATATGAAATTATGAAAAATTAGGAAATATTAACGAAAATCTTGAACATTTTTCTTAATTTTTCATCATAAAACCCAGAAATTATAAAAAATAATTTACTTTCAAATCTTCAAAATTTTTATCATTTTTTTTTCAGCAGGGAAGTACTGCAATGTGTCATAATATTGTAACTCAAAATGCATAATATATATAAAATGCATTTGATAGTCTATGTATGTATATGTAATATTAGTAATATATTATATTACTTGCTTTGTCCCAAATTATGGTTTACATGTCTTTAAAATCCTTTGATTACTGAAATTGAAATGGGTTATTTTATGATGATAAACATGATATGATATCTTAATGCTTATATAGGTGACTGTTCTTTAACAAATCTTGATATTTTGTTCCTGCGATTTAAAAAACAAAAATGAAAAATGAAAATCAAAAACACTTGTTCTCACAAAAATATTGAATGTAAAATTAGAGAAAATAGTGGTTAGTATATGAGCATTTCCACGAAAACGCGGACACAGAAAGCGAAATGTCAATCAATGAATTATGTCATATTTCGTTTAGAATAACATTAATGGAGGTTTAAATGTGGTGTTCCAACAATACATGTTAATATATAACTGATAATTCATGAATGAACAGCTTATTGACATGGCAGACGCACTGACCTTTCATTGAGCATATATCTCTCTTGAGTTTTCAAGTAACAGAAATCCTGGAGGCAAAATAGTTAGCTCTGATTTAATATTGCAATTCATTCATGGTATCTTTAAGTGTATTTCGACGCTGAGAAAATTTTTCTTAAAGAAAATTTGATCAATGCAAAGCATTTTCAATTTTTTGAATTTTTCGTGTCCGTACGTTACGAAAAACATACAAAAGTTCGTCTACTGTGTGACAGAATTATCAAATACCTTCCAATTTTCATATACAAAGCCAAAAGTTAGCACTTTATAACGTGGAATTTTTTCATATTTTTAAAACAAGTGTAAGTTAATTTTTTTTGCGTAACGGACGGACACCATTGTATTTTTCTCATGTAACCGAGGTGCAAAAAACGACTATTTCCGAGTTCTAACTTAGTGATGTACGGATTTAAGGTTTTACATTCATTGCTTATCTCAACTGTCAAAGTAATAAATATAAATATGTAGAATTATTAATAACATTTCTTATATATATATATGTAAACATTAAATATAAAACCATTCTTGAACATAAAATAATTTGTAAGACATTTTTTTCGAAAATTAATGTTGCACATGTTCTCAGTTTATTTGCACATGCGCACATATATTCCAACATACAGCATAACCATAAAAAGTCAATCGCTGTCAAAACGGACGTGAATATTCGCGTATTGATATTGCTGTTTTATGAATACCAACGAACATTCATCGTTAATTCAAAAAGTGTTCTGCGACCAAGAAAATACAACTTTAAGTCTTCGTTACGAAATACTGGTAAATAATTGCAAGTTGTATTTGAGCAAAATTTTTGAAACTTGACAAAAATTGTCATATAAAAATCACCATCACATGGCACCGAAAACCAAAACCTCTGCTTTGACGTCCGCAGAGCGCCAAGCAAGATACCGGGAAAATCTGAAAAAAAAAGGGGTTGATGTAATGCAGAAGAAAAAAGAAGCTCAACGGTCTCGGCTCTTCAGAAAAAAACTTGCTACAAATTTAGGGAAACTAAAAGACCATCGCGAAAAAGAAGCTGAGAGAAAAAGAGTTTCAAGAAAGGCTTTATCGCAATCTGATTCATCAATGAATTCAAGCTGTTCAAGCCTTACTCTTTCTTCATATCGGTCCCGTCAATCATTTGGAAAAGCTTTATACAGGGCAAGAAGATCCTTACCGAGTAGCCCAAGAAAAAGAAAAGCTGTTGTCGCTGCCCTCGCTGAAGAACAAGGTCTCCGATTAGTCACATCTCCACTAGCATTTTCAGAAAAAATTCGCAAAGGATCGAATGAACAAACAAAAGCAAATGTGCAACAATTTTATCTTTCTAATCAAATTTCGTGGCAATCTCCAAATATGAAGGATAGACTCATTTTGAGACATCACGATGAGAATGGAAGGATACAAAAGCAGTACATCCCCAAACGATATATGTTAATGTCTCTTGTTGAGGCACACCAAATGTACCTGAAGGAGCACAAAGATCAACCCGTTGGCCGCTCATTATTTTGTGAGTTGAAGCCCAAAGAAATCTGCATCTTTGGAGACTTGCCTCAAGGTGTATGCGTTTGTCGATATCACGAAAATGTGCGCCTTATCTTGAATGCCATGCATCCTTACACTCAAGTTCCACGATCCTTCAAGGAATTTATCGCACTTGTCACCTGCGATCAGAGTAAAAAAGATTGTATGACCAACAAATGCGACCAGTGTCGTGACAAGATCGATGAACTCAATCCCCGAAATTTCGTTATTAACGCTTCTGTGATTTCACCAAGTTGCGAGCAATGGATAAGCCAACCACTTCAGAAAAAAATAATGGATTGGGATTTGCAACAATGTTTTCAACATCTAAAGGATCAGCTACGTTATTTTCTGGAACACTCGTATGTAAAGCGAGCGCAAGCAAAATTTTTTGAAGACACCATTGCCAGCGTCGATGGAAAACAAATTGCACTGCAAGTTGACTTTGCTGAGAATTACGCTTTAAAACAACAAAATGAAATACAAAGTGCGCATTGGTGTCACCAGCAATGCACAGTTTTTACTGCCTATGCTTGGATGTCCGCTAAGGAAGCGCAGAGTTTCGCGTTAGTTTCGGACGAATTGACGCATGGAAAAATCAGCGTTTATAAATTCATCGAACGGCTACTTGAACTAATTACCGAAAATTACGATGAAGTGGCTGAAGTAAAAATATTTTCAGACGGAGCCGCTAGCCAATTCAAGCAAAAGTACCTTTTTTCGAACCTGCATGTTTTTGAAGCGCGCTACGGCATTAAGCTATCTTGGCACTTTTTCGCATCAGGTCACGGAAAAGGGGTGGTTGATGCCATTGGAGGAACAATAAAAGGTTCGGTGTGGAGGCGAGCAAAAAGCGGAGCTGTGGTAAATACTGCTGAAGAATTCACATCTATAGCTCAAGAAGCATGCCCTAAGATTCACGTTGAGTTTCTGAGCAAAGCAGACATTGATGTTAATTCCGCAGATCTCGAAGAACACTGGAAAGATCTTGCGACAGTCCCAAGAACGCACAGAATTCATGCTGTGTTTTCCCTCGCTCCTTACTGGATCAGCGTTGCCGAAGAATCTAATGTGCATAAAGACAGGCGCATCGCAGTCCGCATGAAGTAATGAAGTTCGCGTGTATGCATATTTTGTGTACTTTTTTTTTCGTTTTCAGTAATTTTAGTTTATTTTAGAAATCGCTTCGTTTTTACATTCATATTGATAAGTTGTAACAATTTGTATCGTTAATTATGAGTATTATTCAGCAATACTAGTTTAAACGTTCAAAACATGTAATTAATAAAAAATGTAAAAAAATACATTTATTTAAACGTGTTCTCTTCTTTTTCATATGTTCCCCAACAATTGAATCTAACTAACGGGTACGAATATGATTTTGTGTTTTTAAATACCGTGATTATAATGTGTATTAAATGTGTATGTCCGTACGTTACGAGACCTTGTCCGTACGTAACGTTTTTATTTTGGATAATTTCCGCAAATAATAAAGAAACGAAAAAATCAAATCCTTAGTCGCAAATAGTATCGTGATCTCAGTTCTTTGGGCAATCCAAAACCACGTATAAAGCAAGAAAATTTGATTTGAATTCGCAGAGTCCCAAACGTTAACAGAGGGGATACAAAATGGGTGTCTTCGGTGTCCGTACGTTACGCTTTTTATACTGGTACTTGCATTTTCTTTTGAAAAAGTATTTTTACTGCTCACATAAGCCTATTTCATGGGAAATTTACTGCTCTTTCAGATGGCGTCAAGCGTTTTTGTGTTAAACTTAAATAAGTAATAGTAATTTAAACATTTATATGATAAAACGCGTCCGAATGTCCGTACGTTACGCGTGGAAATGCTCATATAAGAAAAAACCAAAAAGCAGGGTTCGCAGATATATATCACTTGATATGTATCAAATATATATCATTGATATAAATATCATAATATTTGCAAACCTTAGGGTTTGCAAATATATATCACTTGATTTATATTAAATATTTATATAAATATCATATTTTCGAACCCTGCAAAAAGTAAGCAATTGACTTGTGACTGTGGCAATTTAATTTTACAGGAAAGCTTCACTGTGAAGGACATGCACATGTGGCGGTAGTGAATGTATCTATACCCTAAACATTGTTTAGGATGTATACCATAATTTGTGACAGAATCTGTCTGGCAGAGGGAGTATATATTTTAATATAATATAGCATTTTAGGCTAAAAATTGAAAATATTAATTTTTAGTTATAATAGCCTGTCACAATCTAAGTTGTCAGTCATTGTTTGACTTGCAATTTTGAGTGTATTAAAAAAAATTAATTATGATGATCTGGCACTCACAGTACAATATCATTTATATAAAGAATGCATTATTTAAATTCATACCATTTTATTGGGCTTGATTACCATCAATTTTGAATTATTTTCAAGAGGAACTTCTTCCATATAATAAAATATTACATTCATAGTACTTGCGTTCTTGTAAAAACTCCACACTGCAGGTAATTTGATATCATAGTCTTCTTTTAATAGTGTTTCTTTAAACTCCATATATAATTTACTATTTGTACTTTGTAAATCTTTATTACTTTCTGGTACATTTATTGTTTCTTTGTCTAAAGAATTAGGACCTTCTTCTTCATTTATCTTTAAAGCAAAATTATTATTTTCCAGCAACCCAGTGTTTGTAAAACATTCTTTGTTACCATCCTGTTCAAAAACAGGCAAGGCATTTTTTTTAACGATTTCCTCACTAACGGTACCTAATGACAATGCATAGATTATTACACTTTAGTTTATACAAGAATCAGAATAAACTATTTCGGTTTTACTTACATTCAATATAACCCTTCCATTAGCCTCTCCAAAATACGCACTATTTATGTCAGATGAACTAAAATGTCGTTCACACACATTGGACTTATCACTTAATTCGCAGTTTAAAATTTCTGACCATTTTTTTCTATATTCTACATTTTTTGGCACTTTGAAAATACTCCTTTTCACTTTATGATTAGTGACATTGCATCCCGGAACACAACAAACTTTTCCCATCATAAAAAATAATTTATCAGGGTGTTAATTAACCTCAAAACACAAAGCATTGACATTTAAAAAATATCCGTTAAAACGTCACTAGTTCTAGTTTCGCGCGCCATCTAACGCTCAACGAACGAAGTACTGACTTATGTGGACGCTGCTTCTGTGCTTTAGAGATAGAAGCCATATCACCTCCTTCTTCCACCCTGGTGCATAATCAACAAGAGACAAACTCCGCTCTGTATCAGAAGCCCTGCGGTGTTGCCAATGTCTAAATTTATAATTATAGGCAAATTTGATTTAAAATACCTAGACTATACCTAAACTTAACCTATATTTTTAAATAATGACGTAGGTATACTTAAATATTTAATAATATTGTTGAATTATAATTATTATAATAAAAATTATTATAATTATAATTAGAGATGGGAAAATTCCCATTTGACGAAAATTCCCGGAAACTTTCCATTGAAAATTCCCGATATTTTCCGAAAGTTTCAAAAAAAAAAAATTTTTATTGCGAAAATATTTTTTTTTATGCCAGGGATTTGCAAAAATATATAACACATTAACTTTTTGTCAAATTTTTGGTTGCAATAACGACATAGATTTTTTTACAGAACTTGCTTTGAGCATGGTCTTTTTTGTTTTTTTGCACTATTTTGTAATAATTCCAAACACTAGATTTTTCTCTTGGCATTGTGCTATGCCTATAAATAAACAACAAAAATGTAAGAATGATTTTAACTTTGTTTATTGTTTTTATTTTGTTTACCTTTTTTTAAAAAAGTTTTTTGTGTTGATGCTGAATAATCCGGCTTCATTGAGGTTATGTAACATAACTTACATTATTTATACTTCGTCTGCTTTAAATTAACAAAAATTAAATTCTTATTCAAAGTTTCTTGGCCTTGTATCATGGCCTTAACGAAAATCAGTGGTTAAACAATTGAAATTTAAATAAAAAAAACAAGGAAAGTTTTCAAGGAATGTTTCCAAGAAATGTTTCCAGTAGCTTAAAAGAAACTTTCAAAATGAAAATAAATTCCCAATTGGAAACTTTCCAAAACGGAAAGTTTCCTTAAAATGGAAACTTTCCGATTCCCATCTCTAATAATAATTATTATTAAATTAATTATAAGTCATTATTTTAAAATATTCTCTAAATTTATAATTAAAGGCAAATTTGATTTAAAATACCTAGACGATACTTAAACTTAACAATATTCTTAAATAATGACGTAGGTATACTTAAATATTTAATAATATTGTTGAATTATAATTATTATAATAATAATTATCGTTAAATTATAATTATTTATATTATAATAATTTAAAAGTATTGTTGAATTTAGGTACCTATAGGTATAAACATTTCATTTATTTTGTTTATACATCATAATTTTAAAAAGGTTTAGATATCTTATACAGGGTGCTCTACAAGCTCTATGGCAAACTTTGTCAGATGATAGCTGGGTTAATTATAAACATTTTTTCTTAAATGACATGGATGCGATTCGTTTTTGTTTAAAAGTTAACCCTTTAAAAAATATATTTCCATATGTTAATAAAAAATATACAAATATATCAATAATTATAATTATTATAAGAATTATTGTTGAGGTTAGGTAATTTTGTGTAAAACTTAAATGGGAATCAAAACAAGTGAAACTGACTGAATATTTTTTTCATGAATTATAAAGACATCTAGTTTTTTTTAAATTATTAGATTTAAATACACCAAAAATTCTAAAAAATCTAAATAATGACGTATACGAAGATATTTTGCTGAAAAGTGGTCATTTTTCACGACTTTGAAGCGCTGTATCTTCGTTACTGTTCGCTTGATTTGTACAAAGTTTTCAGGGTATACTAAAAAAAATACGCTCTTTAACAGCATATTTTTTATTTATTTAAAAAAATTCCCTAGAAGTAATTTTTCGAACTTATTTTCATTATTAAATAAAAAGGCTTTAAACATATTTTCTCGAAAAACCCTTGAACACGTAAATTGAGATATAAGTTAAAGTATTTTTATTCAAGATTTCATAAAGATTAGTAAAGGCGTTTTAGAGTTAATTTTTTTTATTTATTATGCAATAATTTTGTAGGGCAGTGTATTTAAAAATAGTGTGATTTATAATTATTTTAATAAAAACTATTATATTTTTGAATGAATTAGTCATTATTTAAAAATATTGCCTAAATTTAAAATTTTAAGGTAATTTGATTTAAAAGACCTAGACCATTGTTGAGGAGCATCTGTGGAAAACCGGCTATATCCATTTTAATAAATGTTGGGAAAATTTAGGAAAACTAAACCAAATTAAAAGTTGAAATTGCTATTTAATAAACAAGAAAAATGCATTACCAACCAATTAGATGGGCCTGAAATTACGCACCGAATAGTAGATGGTAACAAAACACCATGTCTTTGCTGTTGATTAATTTGCGCATCATCATCAATATTTTTTATCTTGAAACTAGTCGTCTGTTTAACTAAATGCATTGTTTAAGACTAAATAAATATTTGCAATATTTTTATATTAGAAACAAATTGGTAAAATACACTTTAGTCTCATTTTAACTTTCAATCTAGATACATCTTATAAATGAAGCGTTACAATAAAAATATTATCATTCGCAAAAACATCATTCGACAGAAAGGTGGAAGGGTTTTTGTTAATAAACTAATTAATAAATTACCTGTTGAATTGCATATTTTGGGATATAATTTTTGTGGACCAGGAACAAAGCTCGATAAACGATTAGCACGAAACGATAAGGGTGTAAATTTGTTGGATGAAGCTTGTAAAGTTCATGACATTGCTTATTCGAAAAACGAGGAATTAGATAAACGACACGAGGCAGATAAAATTTTAACGAATAGTGCTTTAGAAAGACTTAAAGCTCGTGATTCTAGTTTCGGCGAAAAATTAGCTGCTTTAGGCGTTACAACTGCTATGAAAGCAAAAGTAAAACTTGGTATGGGTTTAAAACAACAAATGAAAAAGAAAAAAAGGAAATATAGAAAAGTAAAGAAGAATAAAAGAGTGGTAGTGGGGGGAGCTATATCATTTAATAAAGCAATAAAAAAAGCTAAAGATGCTTTAAGAAATAGAAATCCTAAAAATATAAAATCTGCGATTAATATTGCTGTAAAAGCGGTTAAAGGTATTAATAAAAAGAAAAAACAAGCTCGAATTATTGCTTTACCAAAAACCGGTGTTTTTTTACCTTTAATTCCATTATTTGCGGGACTGAGCGCTCTTGCAGCTTTGGCCGGAGGTGCTAGCTCGATCGCGAGCGCTGTTAATAAAGCAAAAACAGCGCAAGAAGATCTTAAAGAAAAACAAAGACATAACGAAAAAATGGAGACCATAGCTATGGGAAAGGGATTGCAATTAAAAGAGCACAAAAAAGGTCTCGGTTTATTTGTGAATCCCTATTCATATTACAAAAAAAAAAATTCCATAGAAAGATTACCAAAACGAGCTCTAACAAATATCGACTTAAATAAATTTGCTAAAAAATTAAAACTTAATAACTTTCGCGGAGTGTTTATGAAGGACAATTAACCTAATAAAATAAAACAATTTGAATGCGGAA